GAAACGGGGCAGGATTTGAGGGCAGCAGGGAAATCCCGGGATAACGCTGGGGTTCGGGGATGCAACAGCACAAGAGGGAGGAGGAAGCTGGATCCTATGGACATGGGATGCTGCCCTCAAGGAAGCAGCAAAGGGGGCTCCTCATTTGGGTACCACATTTGGGTACCGCACCAGAGCCGTGCTGCATCCTCCATCACCTTCCCCATCACCCCTCATCCCAACTGGTACCCAGAGAACAGGGCAGGATTTGCAACAGGGAATTCCTGGGATAACGCTGGGGTTTGGGGATGCAACAGCACAAGAGGGAGGAGGAGGTTGGAGCCAATGGACATGGGATGCTGCCCTCAAGGAAGCAGCAAAGGGGGCTCCTCATTTGGGTACCACATTTGGGTACCACACCGGAGCTGTGCTGCATCTTCCATCACCTTCCCCATCACCCCTCATCCCAACTGGTGCCCAAAGGAGAACAGGGCAGGATTTGAGGGCAACAGGGAATTCCCAGGATAACGCTGGGGTTCGGGGATGCAACAGCACAAGAGGGAGGAGGAGGTTGGATCCTATGGACATGGGATGCTGCCCTCAAGGAAGCAGCAAAGGGGGCTCCTCATTTGGGTACCACATTTGGGTACCGCACTGGAGCCGTGCTGCATCCTCCATCACCTTCCCCATCACCCCTCATCCTAACTGGTACCCAAAGGAGAACAGGGCAGGACTTGAGGGCAGCAGGGAAATCCCGGGATAACGCTGGGATTCGGGGATGCAACAGCCCAAGAGGGAGGAGGAGGCTGGATCCTATGGACATGGGATGCTGCCCTCAAGGAAGCAGCAAAGGGGGTTCCTCATTTGGGTACCACATTTGGGCACCACATTTGGGTACCACACCGGAGCCGTGCTGCATCCTCCCCATCACCTTCCCCATCACCCCTCATCCCAACTGGTACCCAAAGGAGAGCCAGGGCAGGAATTGCAGCAGGGAATTCAAGGGATAACACTGGGATTTGGGGATGCAACAGCACAAGAGGGAGGAGGAGGTTGGATCCTATGGACATGGGATGCTGCCCTGAAGGAAGCAGCAAAGGGGGCTCCTCATTTGGGTACCACATTTGGGTACCACATTTGGGTACCACACCGGAGCCGTGCTGCATCCTCCCCATCACCTTCCCCATCACCCCTCATCCCAACTGGTACCCAAAGGAGAGCCAGGGCAGGATTTGCAGCAGGGAATTCAAGGGATAACACTGGGATTTGGGGATGCAACAGCACAAGAGGGAGGAGGAGGTTGGATCCTATGGACATGGGATGCTGCCCTCAAGGAAGCAGCAAAGGGAGCTCCTCATTTGGGTACCACATTTGGGTACCGCACCGGAGCCGTGCTGCATCTTCCCCATCACCCCTCATCCCAACTGGTACCCAAAGGAGAGCCAGGGCAGGATTTGCAGCAGGGAATTCCTGGGATAACGCTGGGGTTTGGGGATGCAACAGCACAAGAGGGAGGAGGAGGTTGGATCCTATGGACATGGGATGCTGCCCTCAAGGAAGCAGCAAAGGGGGCTCCTCATTTGGGTACCACATTTGGGTACCACACTGGAGCCGTGCTGCATCCTCCATCACCTTCCCCATCACCCCTCATCCCAACTGGTACCCAAAGGAGAGCCAGGGCACTGTGGTCATGGCTTGGAGGATGCCTTCTCCTCCCCATCCTGCTTCCTTCTGGCTGGAATAACCCCAGCTCCTAGGGAAGGACTCGGAGCTGCTTTAGGGATGCACACAAGGATCCTGGCCTCCAAAAGCAGAGGGGCAAAGGGGGAGGAACTCACTGAGAGCTTCCTTTAGGGCCAGGATGGTTTCCTCTGGGTACACGTTCCTGTCCTCCCAGATCTTGAAGATCCTCTCGATGGATTTGGACACGGATGGATCCCTGCATAAAAGAGAGCAATGGGGTGGGTTTGCCTCACCCCACACTGGGAAGAGGTCGGGGTTGGAATGCAGGGAGCCTCCAGGGGATGCTCTAAAGGCTTGGAATGGCACCAACACAACAGGGGTCTTTTTGGGGTGAAATGAGGGGGTTTTAGAGCAGAAGGCTCAGCAATAGGATGCTCCCATAGCAAATGGCTGATGCTCCATGGTTTCCCTATGTCCTATCCTTTAAAAGCCAGGATTAAGGAACATTCCAGAGGGAATGGGAGGGCAGGGATGGGACAGGGCTCAGCCCACATCTTCCCATCCCAGGTTATTCCAATCACGGAAGCATGGAACGGGCTGAGGGGCTTCTCCCTCCCATCGCATCCCATCCCATCCCATCCCATCCCCATCCCATCCCCATCCCCATCCCCATCCCCATCCCCATCCCATCCCATCGCATCCCATCCCATCGCATCCCATCCCATCCATCCCATCACATCCCCATCCCATCGCATCCCATCCTATCCCCATCCCCATCCCATCCCATCCATCCCATCCCATCCCCATCCCATCCCATCGCATCCCATCCCATCCCCATCCCCATCCCCATCCATCTCCATCCCATCCCCATCCCCATCCCATCCATCCCATCCCCATCCCATCCCATCGCATCCCATCCCATCCCCATCCCCATCCCCATCCCATCCATCCCATCCCCATCCCCATCCCATCATACCCCATCCCATCGCATCCCACCCCATCCCATCCCACCCTATCCATCCCATCCTGATCCATCCCACCCATCCCCATCCCATCCCATCCATCCCATCCCATCCCCATCCCATCCCCATCCCCATCCCATCCCATCCCCATCCCCATCCCATCCCATCCATCCCATCCCATCCCATCCCATCCATCCAATTCAATCCCATCCCATCCATCCAATCCCATCCCATCCCATCCATCCAATCCAATCCCATCCCATCCATCCAATCCAATCCCATCCCATCCCATCCCATCCATCCCATCCCCATCCCATCCCATCCCATCCCATCCCATCCCCATCCCCATCCCATCCATCCCATCCCATCCCATCCCATCCATCCCATCCCATCCCCATCCCATCCCATCCCCATCCCATCCCATCCCATCCCCATCCCATCCCATCCATCCCATCCCATCCCCATCCCATCCCATCCCATCCATCCCATCCCCATCCCCATCCCATCCCATCCCCATCCCATCCCCATCCCATCCCATCCATCCCATCCCATCCCATCCCCATCCCATCCCATCCCCATCCCATCCCATCGCATCCCATCCCATCCCCATCCCCATCCCATCCCATCCCATCCCATCCATCCCATCCCATCCCCATCCCCATCCCATCCCATCCCCATCCCCATCCCATCCCATCCCATCCCATCCCAGTGTCCCCTCTGGCAGGTTAAAGCCGTTCCCTTTGTCCTGCCCCTCCATCCCAAGCCCTTTCCCAGCTTTCCTGGCACTTCCCAACTGCCTCCAGGGGAAGCCCAGCTTCCAAGCTGGGTCCTACATGGCTTGGAGCCCCCTTCCTCCTAAACAACCCCCCCAACCCCATTCCATGCTGGGATTAACCCCTTTCCATGCTGGGATTAAACCCCCCCCCCAACCCCATTCCATGCTGGAATTACCCCCCCCGAACCCCATTCCATGCTGGAATTAAATTCCCCCCAACCCCATTCCATGCTGGGATTAACCCCCCCAACCCCATTCCATGCTGGGATTACCCCCCCCAACCCCATTCCATGCTGGGATTAACCCCCCCCAACCCCATTCCATGCTGGGATTAACCCCCCCCAACCCCATTCCATGCTGGGATTAACCCCCCCCCTACCCCATTCCATGCTGGGATTAACCCCCCCCCAACCCCACTCCATGCTGGGATTACCCCCCCCAACCCCATTCCATGCTGGGATTAACCCCCCCCCAACCCCATTCCATGCTGGGATTAACCCCCCCCAACCCCATTCCATGCTGGGATTAACCCCCCCCAACCCCATTCCATGCTGGGATTAACCCCCCCCAACCCCATTCCATGCTGGAATTAAACCCCTTTCCATGCTGGAATTACCCCCTCCAACCCCTTTCCATGCTGGAATTACCCCCCCCCAACCCCATTCCATGCTGGGATTAACCCCCCCCAACCCCATTCCATGCTGTTATTAAACCCCTTTCCATGCTGGAATTAACCCCCCCCCCCCAACCCCATTCCATGCTGCAATTAAACCCCATTCCATACTGGAATCATTCTCCCTCCCCATTCCATACTGGAATTAATGTCCCCCAACCCCATTCCACACTGTAACTAAGACACCCCCCCCATTCCATGCTGCAATTATACCCCATTCCACACTGGAATTCCCCTCCGCCCCCCATTCCACACTGCAATGTCACTGCCACCCCCCCCCTTCCCCACCATCCCAGAAGCCCCCATTCCCAGTTTCAGGCGCCCCCTCCCTGGGCCCTCACTTGACCAAGGAGGCGGCCTCGGGGAGCACCTCGGCGAAGGCGTCGCGGAAGACGATGGCGTTCTTGCGCTTGCAGTTCTGGATCACGTCGTTGGCCAGGTAGAAGAGGTTGAGGCGGTGGGGGAAAGCGGCTGGAAGCAATGGGAACACCGGCGCATCACACTGGGAAGCACCCGCGCCTCCACCGGGCTTCCAATGGGACACAAAGAGCGTGGGGGCACCATAGGGATGCAAAGCGCAAGGGGGGAAACAAAGCCAAGTCCCATAGGAAGGGGGTCAGGGGGGGTCCTGATCGCTGCCTGCAATAGGATGGGGTCAGGCTCTGATCCCATGGGATTGACCCCCAAAGGGAGGTTTGGATGGGGGTAAAGGGGGCTCAGGGCTCTCAATGCTATGGGGTGGGCTTGGGAGGTGGGAATGGAGGAGATGCAAGGGGGATGCCAGGGGGGATTCCAGGGTTTTCCACATTCAATCCTTCCAATGTGTATTGCCACTATGTTATATACATATAGCATACATCTTCAATGTATAAGAATGATTTTCCAGGGGGGATTCCAGGATTTTCCATGATGGGTTCCATGATTTTCCATGCTCAATCCTTCCCATGTGTATTACAACTATAGTATAGGTATATATCGTATATATTATATGTATAATAATGATTTTCCATTCGTGATTCCAGGATTTTCCATGGGGGATTCCAGGATTTTCCATACTCCATCCTTCCGATGTGTACTACTATATATACATATATATATTACCATATATATATATATTATATGTATAATAATGATTTTCCATTCATGATTCCATGATTTTCCATGGTGGGTTCCATGATTTTCGATACTCCATCCTTCCGATGTGTATTACTATATATACATATATATACATTACCATATATATATCATATATATTATATGGATAATAATGATTTTCCATTCGTGATTCCATGATTTTCCATGGGGGATTCCAGGATTTTCCATGGTGGGTTCCATGATTTTCCATACTCCATCCTTCCAATGTGTATTACTATATATACATATATATATTACCATATATGTATCATATCTATTATATGGATAATAATGATTTTCCATTCGTGATTCCATAATTTTCCATGACGGGTTCCGTGATTTTCCACCTTCAACACTTCCGATGTGTATTACGACTGTATGACATGGATATTATATAAATTATGTGTGTTATATGTGCCATAATGATTTCCCATGGGTGATTCCATGATGAGTTCCATGATTTTCCACATTCAACCCTTCCAATGTGCATTAAGACTGTATTACATGTATATTATATGTGTATTATATGTGTAAGAATGATTTTCCATTTGTGATTCCAGGATTTTCCAGGGGTGATTCCAGGATTTTCCATGGTGGGTTCCAGAATTTTCCACTCTCAATCCTTCCAATGTGTATTACGACTATACTGTATGTATATATAGTATATATTATATGGGTAATGATGATTTTCTATTCCGGATTCCATGATTCCATGATTTTCCATGGGGGATTCCAGGATTTTCCATGATGGGTTCCACGATTTCTCCACCTTCAATCCTTCAAATATGTATTAAAACTGTATTACATATATATTACATATATGTATTATATATGCCATAATGATTTTCCATGGTTGATTCCACGATTTTCCATGGTTGATTCCACAATTTCCTGTGGGTGATTCCATGATTTCCTATGGGAGATTCCATGGTTTCCCATGGTTGAGTCCATGATTTCCCAAGGGTGATTCCATGATTTCCCATGGGTGAGTCCATGGCTTTCCATAGATGTTTCCATGATTTTTTATGGTTGATTCCATGATTTCCCAAGGGTGATTCCATGATTTTCCACGGGTGATTCCATGATTTCCTATGGGTGATTCCATGGTTTCCCATGGTTGAGTCCATGATTTTCCACAGGTGATTCCACGGTTTCCCATGAATGATTCCATGGTTTCCCACGGGTGATTCCATGATTTCCCATGGTGATTCCACAATTTCCCATGGGTGATTCCATATTTCCCATGGTGATTCCATAATTTCCCAAGGGTGATTCCATGGTTCCCCACTTTCAACCCTTCCAATGTGCATTCACGCATCCAACGAGCGCCCTTCCCACCACGGGATGCTCACCCCCCCATTGGCTCCATAGGGATTTTCCAGCTCCCTTTTTGCCCCAGGGATCCCCCAGCCCTGCCTCCGGCATTCCCATGGGAACAGCTTGGGATGAAGGCACCTTAAAGCCCATCCCCTTCCATAGGGCAGGATGCTCCCAGCCCCATTGAACACTGCAGGGATTCCCAGCCCTCCTCATTCCCAGCCTGTTCCAGCTCCAGTGGAGACGGGATAAGGCCCAAAAGCCGGGAATGGAGACACCAGCACCCGCAGCCATGCACTGAAACCCCCAAAAGCACCAAATCCTCTGCCCAAAGAGCTCCAAATGTTGGGAATTCCGGTGCTAAAAGGTGGGAAAGGAGCCCAAAAGCAAGGAAGAAGGCTTTGCTCCATAGGGATAAATGGGGGGACGGGACCAGGAGCTCCAGGCCAAGAGGATGGGGATGGGTGCATGCAGGAATAAAGGGGGATAAGTGGGGACCAGGTCATGATGGAGCCCTGGGGCCTTTTCCCTTCTTTAAGCCCAACACCAAGCACCATCCCTCCCTAACAGGGAAAGCGGGAATGTTCTCCCTCTATATCCCTACTACAATCCCAATGGATCCCCATCAACCCAACTCCTTCAGGCCCATGCAAACACCCCCTTTAGACACCCCCCCCCACCCCATGTATCCCTATGGGCCCGGTCCCCGAGGGGTCCCGCTCGCACTCACAGCGCCGCAACCACTTCATCCAGTGGCAGACGATGGTGCTGTGGTGCCGCTTGTTCTCCAAGCACCACGAGGACAGGCCCTGGATGGACTCCATGGTGTTGGTGACCGCCTGCAGCTTCCGATCGAGCGAGGCCTCCAAAGCGGCCGCCGCCGCTGCCGACGAAGAGGAGGCGGCGGCCGACGAGGAGGAGGAGGAGGAGGACGACGACGACGAGGCCCGCCCGCCGCCTCCGCCGCCCGCCGCCATCTTCGGGCCCTCCCGGAGCAACGCTCTCCCCCCCCCCCTCCTGCTCGGGGCCTTCCTCAGCGGCAACGGCCCCGCTGGAGGCCTATGGGGCACGGCGGGGCGACCCGGACCTGAAGCTAACGGGTTAAACGGGCTCCACTTACGACCGCAACCGGTTGCAACGAGAACCGAGGGGGCCCCAAGTCCTCGCTTAAGCCCCGGGGAAGGGAACGGGGGGAGGCGGCGGCGGCGGTCACCGGCCGGGCCCCCCCGAGCGCAGCGCCCGCCCCCCCGCCGCCATTTTGTGCCCGGGCTCCCCTCGCACGGGCCGCGGGCGCTCTGCGCATGCGCGGCTCCGCCCCTTGGCGCGCTTACACGCACTCACCCTCCCCCCCCCTTCCCCTTCTCTCCCCGGCGCCAAGATGGCGGCGGCGGCCGGCGTGAGGTGAAGCGAGGAGAGTTCCGCGTTCGGGCTTAAAGCGGAGCCGGAAGTGTAAAATAAAGCGATTTATGAGGGGAAATAAGGAAGAAGGAGGCGGATTCTGCGCTGCCAGAGCCCAACGAGGGGTGCGCACCCCAAAAATCCCCTCAGAAACCCGCACAGCAGCAGGTACCCCCCCCCCCCCGTCCTTTAAATTGAACCCGGAGCGGGGGCTTTGCATTAAAAAATAGGTCTTTAATGGCGGAGGGGGGGGGGGGCTCAATCCGTGCCCTCGAGCACGGACTCGCTGAGGGCCAGGTCCCAGTAGTGCTCGGCCCCGTGCTTCTTGAAGTGCTCCCGGGCCATGTTCTCCGTGGGGCACTGCTTGAACTTCATCTCGCCGAAGCTGCGGTCCTTGGCGGTGCCCTGGGGGGGGGGAGGATGGATCCCATGGGATAAAGGGAGGATCCCGTGGGAAAAGGGTGGATCCCATGGGAAAAGGAGGCTCCAAGGGGGAGGGGCTGTTGGTGATGGGAACAGGGGGAGTCACGTGATGCCCACCGGCTGGGATGGGAGTTTGGGATGGAAGTGGTTTGGGATGGAAGTTATTTGGGATGGGAGTTTGGGATGGGAGTTGTTTGGAATATGAGTTTGGGATGGATGTCATTTGGGATGGATGTTAGTTTGGGATGGATGTTAGTTTGGGATGGGAGTTGTTTGGAACAGGAGTTTGGGATGGAAGAAGTTTGGGATAAATGTTAGTTTGGGATGGAAGTTATTTGGAATAGGAGTTTGGGATGGATGTCACTTGGGATGGATGTTAGTTTGGGATGGATGTTAGTTTGGGATGGATGTTAGTTTGGGATGGATGTTAGTTTGGAATAGGAGTTTGGGATGGAAGAAGTTTGGGATGGGAGTTGTTTGGAATAGGAGTTTGGGATGGACGAAGGTTGGGACGGATGTCATTTGGGATGGAAGTTGTTTGGGATGGAAGTTATTTGGAATATGAGCTTGGGATGGATGTTAGTTTGGAATAGGAGTTTGGGATGGAAGAAGTTTGGGATGGATGTCATCTGGGATGGGATGTTAGTTTGGGATGGGAGTTGTTTGGAATAGGAGTTTGGGATGGATGTCATTTGGGATGGATGTTAGTTTGGGATGGATGTTAGTTTGGGATGGATGTTAGTTTGGGATGAAGTCAGTTTGGGATGGGAGTTTGGGATGGCTGTTGTTTGGGATGGGAGCTGTTTGGGATGGGAGCTGTTTGGGATGGCCACGATCCCCAAGCTCATCCCATTCCAACCCCTCCCCCAGCAGGTGCTTTGCCTCCATTCCCAAGCCTTGGAAGAACGCTCCCCCCTCCACATGGATGGGGCAGATCCCTCGGGATCCCCGACTCACCTCCCACACCAGCGAGCATTTGTTGGTCTTCTTCACAGCCTCCTCATCGGACTCCTCCTCATCTGAAACCCAACCCCAAAAGGAGCCAAAATCCATGAATTTCACCCCAAAAAGAGAGGCATGGGGAAGGGGGGGGGTCGGTCCCCCCCCAAACTCACCCTCGCCCTTGGTGGCTGCCGTTTGCTCATCCCATTTGATCCGATGCAGCATGAGCCGCTTGAACTTCTTCTGTGCTTTGGGGCCTGGAAAAGAAGCTGGGATTAGGAACCAAGGAGGAACCTGGGAGCTCATCCCAATCCCAACCCCTTTCAGGCCCCGGTTTTCCCCCTGGGAACTGCGCCATTCCCAGGCCTCACCTCCTTCCACCACCACCACGTTGACGTCCTTGTGCAGCACCACCACCCCGCTCAGGTAGAGCTGCCCTGCGTTGGCCTCGATCTTGAACTTCTTGGCTGGGTTGCTCAAGTTCCGGACCCTGCATTGGGAAGGGGGTGGGATAAGGCCCAAGGGGTTGGCACGCATCCATTGGGATGAGCTGCATCCCAAGAGCTCCATCCCAGCCCCTTCTCTGTGTGGCTATGGAGGTCAGCTTGGCCAGGAAGGGAAGCGTCAATGCCAGTGTGAACGCTCCACGTTGAAGCCATGGGTTTAGTGCTTGGGTTTCCAAGTGGGATGCGTTGTTCCGGCCCCGCATTCCTTAGGGATGATGGATGGATGGATGATGGATGATGGATGGATGGATGGATGATGGATGGATGATGGATGATGGATGGATGATGGATGGATGGATGGATGGATGGATGGATGGATGATGGATGGATGGATGATGGATGATGGATGGATGGATGATGGATGGATGATGGATGGATGGATGGATGATGGATGGATGGATGGATGATGGATGATGGATGGATGGATGATGGATGATGGATGGATGGATGGATGGATGATGAATGGATGAATGGAGGAGGAGGGGGTCAGCCTCACCTGTACACCGCTATGTGCACCCCCTGTGACACGTCTTCCTTCAGCTTCTTCACCTTCTTGGCTTTCCGCTGCTCGGCCGTCAGCTTCCGGGCGGCGTTGGCCTCCTCGTGCGCTCTGCACACACACACACAGGGATGCAGCAGGCACCAAACATCCCAAAGCATCCCTAATTCCTCCTCCCTGCAAGGCTCAGGGACAGGGATGAGCCTCATGGCTAAAGGGAACCCTCCAGCAACCCCAATGGGGTCAAACCAACCCCATCTTTCCTCCATCACTTCCCAAATGCATCCCTAATTCCTCCTCCTTGGAAGGCTCAGGAATAACAGGGATGAGCCTCATGGAAGGGGGATCCCTCCCTCCAGCAGCCCCAATGGGCTCAAACCAACCCCATCTTTCCTCCATCACTTCCCAAATGCATCCCTAATTCCTCCTTCCTGGAAGGCTCAGGAATAACAGGGATGAGCCTCATGGAAGGGGGATCCCTCCAGCAGCCCCAATGGGCTCAAACCAACCCCATCTTTCCTCCATCGCTTCCCAAATACATCCCTGATTCCTCCTTCCTGGAAGGCTCAGGAATAACAGGGATGAGCCTCATGGCAAGAGGGATCCCTCCCTCCAGCAGCCCCAGTGGGGTCAAACCAACCCCATCTTTCCTCCATCACTTCCCAACTGCATCCCTAATTCCTCCCCCTTGGAAGGCTCAGGAATAACAGGGATGAGCCTCATGGAAGGGGGATCCCTCCCTCCAGCAGCCGCAATGGGGTCAAACCAACCCCATCTTTCCTCCATCACTTCCCAAATGCATCCCTAATTCCTCCTTCCTGGAAGGCTCAGGGACAGGGATGAGCCCCATGGCAAGAGGGATCCCTCCAGCAGCCCCAATGGGCTCAAACCAACCCCATTTTTCCTCCATCACTTCCCAACTGCATCCCAAAAGGAGCCCCCAAAACACCCCAATGTTCCACCTACTTCTGCCTCTTCGCCATCTGAGCTCGGACGTGGGCCTCCACTTTGGTTGGATCCTGCACAGCTTCCGTGCCCAAAACTCGCATCAAGTTGGAGATCCGGACTGCAAAAGGAATGGGAATGGAGATTCCAAAGGATCCCGAGGATTTGGGATGAGGCTTCCATGGCCCCCACGGCCTCACCTTTGGGCTCCGGAGGTGGCATCAGGCCCAGCCTGACCTTCTCCTGCAGCTCCTTCTGGGCCTCCCTGCGGGTCTGGCGCCGCAGCTTCTTCTGCTCCTTCTTGGTTAAATAAACCCCTAAGGTGACGGGGGTGTCGCTGTCCACTGCGGGAGCAAGGGATGGAGAATGGGAATCCCCAAAGGGAAACCGGGAATACCGAGCGCCACGATGCTGCAGGGGGTTGGAGCACACAGGGAATGGGGGGAAAGAGAGGGGGGGTCTGGTTTGCTTTGCTGGGATTGAAACAGGGCCAGGAGCAGAGGGATGTGGAGCTGTTGGAGCAGCTCCCATAGGAGCCAGGCTGGGTCCTTGAGGAGGGCCTAAAGGGGCTGCAGGAAACCTGGAGAGGGGCTTGGGATGGAGGGGACAGGATATGGGGAATGGCTTTGGAGATGGGATGTTGGGAAGCTCTTCCCTATGAGGGTGCTGAGGCGGTGTCGATCAGGACTGGGGGTACCTGGGGGGTTGAGCTGGGCCGGGTGTTCCACGAGGTTCGTGATCCCAAAGTACTCGTCCCTCTTGGAAGACGTTCCTCCTTTTCTAGATGGGAAAGGGCTGGGGGTGAGCAGTGTTCCCACAGCCTCCCATTCCCATGTTCCCATAGGAAACACCAGCAATGGGCAGGGAATACAGCTCCGGGCACAACCCCATCCATCCCTGGCAGTGCTTAGGGTTGGACACAGGGGCTTGGAGCTGGAGGAGCTTTAAGCTCCTCCCCACCCAAACCATCCCAGGATTCTGGGAATTCTACTCCAAAACCCATTAAGTTTCCCCAGCAGGCACCTGGGAAAGCACCAACCCCATCCAGATCCACATCACCCCATGGACACTGATCCCAACCTCTGGAATGAGCCACTCACAGGTCGAGGCCGTTGGGGATGATGTAGGAATCCCACCACTCGATCTCCGGGATCTCCCCTTCCTTCAGCTCCTTCTTGGGGGTGATGAGAGCCAGCTTGGTGGATGTGTGGATCCCGGTTTTCCTGGCAGCTTGGGAGATCTCCGCCTGCAGCTTCTCCAGTTG